ACACACACACACACACACACACATTTGGCACTGTGCACATAAACACAACTCGCAAGATAAACGATAAGCAAAGCCTTTTGTGGAGCGGTTATGGAGCACACTAGGAAGGGAAACATAGATGCAGAACCTAAACCACTCAAAAGAAAGGAAGTAGGATGGACTCCTGGGCATCAGCAGTCGTCCTACATGGTCTTTTTTCAGAAATGTCTTCTTTAAAGATGAGAAAATAAGACATTTGCATTTTTCCTGGCAGGCACCTACAGATCTCTGTTAAAATGCTGCTCCTACACAGGTCTAGCATTGAACACACAAAGCAATTGTAATGAAACAGAACAAAGTTGTCCTAACATAATAATAATAAACATAATAATAATCAAAATCACAATTAAATTACAGAATAAGTCTTTAAAGATTTTTTTGTAACTTCAAAAGTTACTTTCTTTGAAATGCTATCATCAATATAAGTAATTGTTTATTTTGTGTTCAAGATGCCAACTATACTTGATTAACATTATCCAAATCAATAAAAACTAGCTTTGCCGTTGCATTCTCATTAGTCAATTGCTCATCTGGTGATACCTGTCAGTACTGCGTTAAAGGCAGCCGTGACGCTTTCCCGTCAGAACTGCACTATGGGCGGGCATGACAGTGCTGAGATACAAATGGGTACCACACGTCTTCGTCAGTGCTGCGTTACAGGTCGGCATGACTTATACCGCCAGTATTGTATTACTAGCAGGTGTGTCACATTCCCATCAGTACTGCCTTATGGGCTAGCGCAACATCCCTGTCAGTGTTGATATGGATGGGTACAATACCTCCCAGTCAGTCCTACGTTACAAGCAGGCTGAATGCATTCCAGTCAGTACTGCGTTACAGGGGGACAGGATGCATTCCCAGCAGTTTCAACCACTCCAGGAAACTCCAAGCACTCTTGTTACTCTGTGATGGTCAGATAAATGTTCTTTCTGCCAACAGGACTCTTTATGTACTTGTGCTCTGTGTCCATGGCAACGGTTATTGCGGTGC